CGGCCTGGTAATACAAGTAGTTTAAATGGCTACTGTTACGTATAATAATATAATATATTGAAGTTGAACAGGAAAAAAAAGGATTATGGAATATCGTTATTATTTTTTTCAACACCACAAACAATTGTATAGGTAAAAAAAGTTTTACTAGCTTAAAAAACATGAAAACAATTTTTACGTTTTTAAATGTGAACTTACTATTTATTATTATTATTTTTTTGTATTATTGATATCGAAAAACGATATTGCACGTGGATTAGAGCCCGAGTGATCCTTGTCCACGTCAAATGATTATCGACAAACAATTTATAGACTTATGCCGTAACGTTGTGTATTACATTATATTAGTACGATGCCGTTAAAACGATTTGAAATTCAAAAAAATTTAAAATTTATGTACAATATAATACACTCATTTTATGGCAAGTATGGTTCACAGTTACGCTGTCTGTCGTTTCGTGTGCCTATTTTATCGTATTTTAAATGATCGTTGAAATCATAATATTTTCATTCATGCAACGAGAAAATGTCTAGACTTAGGTTTAGCTCAAATACGATACGAAACGACCCGGCAGACGAAGTAAAGATTTAAACCCGACTTAACTGATAGTTTTAGTTATTATACTTGGGTATTGGTGAAAATATAAGTATTAGTAGATCTAAAAACGTACGTTTTTACGACATCATACAACCATAGAAGTACTAATATATTATCATATTGTGTTTCATGAACGTTAATCGCGGTATATCAACACCGGACCATGACTAACGCGTCGCTTACCGTTTGCTACAGTAGTAGACCGTGGTGACGAACGTGAATTTTGTTTTGTTACACTTGACGCATACACCACGCAGACCGGCCTTACAGTTTCGGGTCTGATTCAGTGTCGGCTGACCGCTCCACGACGTCTTTTGACGACACGCCACGCAATAGGTCACTAAGTATGGATCGGACATTTTCTAAATTTGTTACTTATCTCGATATAAATCCGTCGTGAATTGATTTAATAGTGTTATGATGTTATATATTATGTCCTTATCGATCCTGTTTATCGCAAAACGCAAACGAACCGATGTTAAGTTATTTAGTTAGGCCATGGGTCATTTTATTGCATTTAATCGTCGTTGCATGACATCCGACATCATAATAGACCGGTCGTATGTAACACTTACCTTATTGATGCGGTTGATTAGGTACTGAAACGTGTGTTGAAGACAATTGAATAAAAACAATTAAAATAAAAGAGCCGACGGCAAATACCGTGTGATGTAAAGTATTACTATGTTGATGCAATAACAAGCCACTCGTCACAGTAATTTTTGATAGGCCAGTGTATTAAATCTATTATATACGTCATAACGGAATATTATATTTTGTGTTGAGCCAGCTAGGTGAAAAAATAATTAAGTGATTTTATATAAAGATTAAACGCACAACTGAAATATGCTGGTAAATTATATTATTTTTACACGTCTAACAAATATCACTCAAACGTATTATGTATACGTCATGAGTAATTTACTAGAATATAATATTATTACTACAACCAGAGTTAAAAAGTAAACCATTTAGAAACCACGAATCGTCTTGACATAACTTTCAGTTTTTTTTTTTTTTTTGAAGTTAAGTGGTTTCTATTGACGTACTATTTTTAAACTCAGATGAGTACTCGACTCGATATACTTAATAAGATCTAAACCGTTCCGGTAAAAAGAAGAAGATTGTTAATAATTTAAAAATAGACTATAATATATATTATATTTAATGCATAAGTATATTGTGTATTTACTAAAATTAACATTTAAGTTAATGATTGGTGGAATAAGGTGAATTTTTATTTAAAAGTTTAGAGATGTCATGCTGACGTCAACCTAGCATCTCAAAAATAGAAACATTAATGTTGATGGTAAGACTGAAGAGTTGAATTAAAAATTTTGATTTTTTGTTACAATTTGACAACTGTTACTAATGGAGTATTAATTTAAAAATAAATGTTGAGTTCAACAAAATCAGACTGTGGACCTCAGTATTTCTATGTAAAAAATTATGTACGTTTAACGCATATTATAAATAATTTTCTTCACCCTGCGTTGTGTGTATAGATCATAAATTATTAACGGGTTTACCTCGAGGTGTCAAAGACACGCGCGGGTAGTGTAAAAAGATAAATATTAATGAGATTGCAAACAAAAAAGTGTTCGTTTGTTGATGATTCTCCGTTGAATAATGTTGGAATTATAGTCTTTGATTTTAAATCTGCACATAATTGCTTGTACACTATAGGGTTTTCGCGCTTTGCTGATTGAGTTTTTGAATGCCTATAATAATTATTGATGTGTAAAATATATAAAACGAATTGTTTTTATTATCATCCGCTTTAATTTAAATAATATAATATTAAATTGAAATGAACACGTGCTGGTTCGTTGACACTTTACCCGCTGTCCATCATCATTGTCTGCAATTGCTTGTGCAATATTCTCACATCGTATATTTTATAATTCTTTTCCGCCCCAAGAGCATATTATATATTTTTAATTATTTATGTATGTGACCGGCGCCTATTAACATCGCGCCATCAACATCTATCATCCGAAAACAGCTAACTATCTTCCCTATAGGGATCTGACAATCACGAAGACCAGCAGTTACATGACATGTAATATGTATATTATATATAAATCCCGATTCATCCCGAGAGATAATTATTGTTTCAAATGTTCTAAAGGATCTTTATTCTACCAGTACACACCGATAATAACGGCTTTTGTGACCCACGACTGACGTTTACAATTATTAAACTGTACTATTATAAAGGAGTTGTATAAAACTAAGTTTGTTCCAAACTTAGTTTAAAAACAGATGTTTCTATGTGACAGTTATACAAGAGTAAAAGACGTATAAATATTAGAATATTATGCACTATGGTCAATAATTATATTACAGTCCACGTAATATAACGTGTAATTCTTACATAATAATATAATTACATTAGATACAGTGGCGTGCTCGAAAAAGTTCAATGGGAGAAGTTGATATAAGTATAGCTATACATTTTAGTGAATTTTGGCGAGAAACCCGGGTACTAATAGCGAGGCTTTAAATTTAAACGAGAAACACTCTCACCGTTCACTGTAGGTAATTCTGAACCAGAACCGCTGCACTAACTGCAGTGATAGGTACTTCAAAACTACAGTGACATAATTGGTATTTTGAATCGGATGATAGTATGATTCCATATTGTAACTTATTTAAATAAATAGTAAACATGATTTAAATTACAATGGTAATGCATTCATTTAAATAAAATCCAATAAGTTTATATCTATGGTTGTGTAAAACAAGTCAAGTAAAAATACCAATAGTTTTTAAAAGTTCTTAATACTCTTACTTTTTCTTCTTGAGGCATTATGATAAATAAATAAAAATGTTTTTCTTAGACGTGTGCAATGGTGTGAGTAGAAATTTTCAACGAGATGGGATGTTATATGTAATATACATTTAGCGAATTGATGAAGGAGGGAGTAAAACCAAAGATACAAATAGTGGGGCTTTAATAGTTAAATTGTTAAATATAGTTGATAAAGTTATAACCATAGATTAAGATGTAAGTTTAAAAAATTATATTCAGTGCTTATAGTTTTTATAACTGTATAATATATAGATAGGTCATAGGTTTATCTATATTATTTAAAATATTAATATGAACTGTAGATATAAGCGTTATAAGATACGTTTCATCTTCAATGTTACACAGTCTAAATGCTAATAGTGTCACTAATCGGTGTTGATGTTATTTAGATGCTAATAGTAAAACATAACGACACGGATTAAACCAACTACTAATAAATAATAAGTAATCATACAAAATTTTGACTGATAGGTAAAAATAAGTGAGTAATTAAAGTCATAATTTTATTATTTTTTTTTATAATTTCTTGACAATTATTATATTTGATGTCTATTACTTATATATTCGAATATAGTAATGCAAGATAAACGCCGTCTAGAATTATAATATTATATAATACATCAATACGTGACCAGTGTAGTATAAATTATTTGTTTTTATTTTCATGAAAAACAGCCAATTATATAAATTACATTAGAAAAATAAATAACACTGATTTACTCAATAAAAATATATACTAAGTGATGTGAGAATAATTCAATATTTTATTTTGTTATAATTTATGAATTTTAACACACACGTACAAACGACGTACAATGAACAATGATGTAAGCGGGACGTACTTGTAAAAAAAATATTATGTATTTGCATATTATAATATTTCAAATATAACGAATTTGTCCTACTTAAATTTATATTTTTCCAACTTTTGAAATATAATATTTAAAAGAAAATGCCTCCGAGATGATGAATGTAAAACCTTAAAAAAGTGAGGAATGCAAAATAAAAGTTTCATTTTAAAATTCTGTGTCGTATATTTATATGTGATGTAATATAAACGAAAATGAATCGAAGAAACGTTTTCACTAGAAAACGTCTATCGACGACTACCTACGAAAAAAATAAATATATTTGCTATGAAAATATATCGAACGAAAACTCGTGAATTTCAATAGAATGAAGATACACAAAAACGTTCAATTAAATATTTGAGTTTCTCTTTTGGTCCAACCGAATTTTTACTCAGAAGTGCAAGAAATACAATACTGCGTATATAGATGGTTACATATTCACGCGGGTACAAAACGCACACGTATAATATTTTAATATATATATATATGTTAGCGTTAATGTATGAAATTCCGTAATTCTATAGAATAACTAGTTATTTTATAGAATTACGGGTACTTTCAGTTAATGTATTGAATGAATCCATAAATATATACTTCAACTAGTTATTCTACATACCAACTAGATATTTTATAAACTAACAATAATGGTTTAGTTAATGTATTGAAAACTATTATTGAATAAAAGTTTTATTATTATATAAAATATTAATATTAATTTTTTTTTTAAATTTACAATTTATTTATTAGTACAGGAACTTTTTGGGTGGCATTTAGAATTACAAAGTAAATTATTTTTTAAACATATGCACCGTTTTGTGGTGCACTTTTGTTGGCATGTACATTTAAAAAACCCTTGTCCATTACCAAGTGATTGGGATTCGGATGCTTTTCGAAGGCAAATATCTACATCTGGAACGTCACTAAGCGTAATAAACTTTTCTGTGCATAAACTAAATTGTGACCTCGCGTAATGTTGTTTTAGTATACCGTATTTAGTTCCTAAAACAAAATTATTTGAATTATTAATAAAAAAATTAAAAAAAAATTACCTAAGCGATAAAATCCGTCGGTTGTTTTTTCTAATACAATTGCAATTATAGATTGTGGATCACATTTTGACCTGTCAACATCTGGAATTTTGATTCGTACGTTACATCCTTGAAGAGCAGGTGGATGAGACATATCTGATTGTAGTTTCATTCTTTTAGCTTGACGTTCTAAGCATTTTTTTTGCTTCTTCTCTTTTATTGGAAATATTTTCTTTATTTATGCAAAGTTGACACAATTCTTCCTCGGTATTCCCTTCATTTTCCATAAATATATGTTTGCATATTTTACAGTTATTTTTCTCTAAATCTTTGTTAATTTTATTATTTAAACTTTTGTCTGTATTCAAAACTTTCAAAATATTGTCTGGAGTATTTGAAGAAATTCCTACTTTTGGGGAACATCCGAACATAGCTTCATAAGGACTTCGTCCTATCCCCCTATGAAAAGCTTTATTTTTCATAAATTGAATAAACCTTAGCCCTTCACTCCATTTTGTTGTGTTGTTGTCCTTCATCCAGGTAATTATCATATTCTCTATATCTTGATTTGCCCTCTCCACTGATCCTTGGGACTGACTGTGGCGAGGTTTGCCATGAATAATAGATAATTCAGGCCACATTTCTTTTAATGAATCTATTGTTTGGTTTCTGAATTCACGACCGTTGTCACTTTGTAGTACACTTGGAGCACCGAACACCGTAAAAATATCTATGAGACAATATGCTACTTCTTCAGCTCTTTTCGATTTTAATGGTTTTATAATACAAAATTTAGTCAAATGATCTTGATACACCAACACAAATTTATATTCACCATCAGCTTGACTTTGATAATCAATAAGATCTAATTGACATCTACTATTTAATTCAGAAAAAATCATAGGATTTGTCACGATACCTTTTTTTTCACTTTTTTGTTTTTTTACACATGATTCACATAAATTTAAAAAAATTTTGACGTTTGATTGAGTAATATTTTTATATTTTTTTTTGAGTTCATACATCATTCTGTCTCTACCACCATGTCCAATAGATAGGTGAATGTTAAGTAAAATATCATATAATTCTTCGTCGTGGACGTAAAATATAATATCAGAATTTTCTTTCATTGGACGTATAAGTTTTTCATTACCTTGCACTTCTATCACATCATACCGTTGTACTAACCAATAATCACGTGGCGATTCTTTTTTTCCTGTTTTAATACGTTTCACTTCACTTATTAAGGAATCATATTTTTCTTTCAGCAAAAACGTGCTGTTATTACGTTCTGTTGTTGTATTTTTTATAATTGTATCAAATTTGGTTTTCATTTTAAAGCACACTTATTAGTTATTACACTATACAACACTAAAAATGATTAAACTAACTAGTAAGTAAACTCGCAGTACACTGTCACACGAATAAGTCTAGTCTATTCCAAATGGTGTGGTTCAATACTATCTTATCTTATTATTTTTATTAATAACAACAACGGTAACAAATTTTGTATGTTATCTAATCCAGTCCCGGTCATATCTACCTAATGATATAAATTTCATACATTAACGAAAACCCAATCGGTATTTTATATATTAACTAGTAAAACCGTGTAATTTATATATTAACGAACATATTTAGGAATTTTATAGAATAACTAGTTATTTAATAAAATAACGTATTACATACATTACCGCTAACATATATATATATAACATGGTTGAGCTGAGCAGCGATCGTTTATCGTGTGAAGAATTATTTTAGATCTACACTGCGGCGAGCTACCAAATATACATATAGCTACCCTTAAATAAATGGGAATAAATGCGTTAGACGTTGTATCGTATATACCTGTATCATGTAAACGCGCACATCCATATACGCTGGTACAGGTGTTTGTTTCTTCTGACAATACCGCAGTCCCAAGAACACAGCTGGGTTCCTGCCGCACGTCATACATGATAACGTCCGACATTTAATAAAGTTATTATTATCGTAGAATACTCACTATAGCTACATATAGGGATATTCATATTAAACGTGTGTCGCGGCAAATGTGGTACTTTATGTGCGCGTTCTGCGGACAACCGATTCACAAACTCAAACGTCCAAGATACGATGCAACCGTTCAGAGTAAAGAAATGTAATCTGACAGATTTTAATATTACTATTATGCCATAATAATGCATACGCATATAGTAACACACAGTGGAGAATTTCAGGAAAAAGGATTGGTCTGCACATAAACAATACAAAGAGTATTAGGTACAGACATTACATATGTAAAAATAATTAATCGGGGTCAGGTCAATGTTTTCGTCTTTTAAATAAATATTTCGAAATAAACCACATTAGGTAACTGTCTATGAGATTCACAATACAAATTATAACTATGCGTAGCATAAGACATGTGTATTTTGCATTTTGAAACATAACTTTTGAAGAACAATGTTTAGAATCGAATAAGAAAAAAATATGTAAATACTATTTGGCTGTAAGTTTGTAAGACTTCGCTTTACTTTCTGCTCTTTGTAAATCTGTTTGAAATGTAATTATTATAGTTATTACTTATTACCACAGTCGGTGGCACTATGCATAGGTACTCGAAGAGTATAAACGATATATTATTTCTGAAATTAGTAAATAAAATATTTTTTTGTTTTTGATATTAGTTAAAAAAAATTGTGAATAGTCAAGTTCAAGGGTGTACAATGGCCGATTCAGCGAAGTCCATTGTCATTATATTCGCTCCGTTAAATCCACCACTGACAGACACAAACGATTGTAACACAATAAGAACGTTTAATACATAAACACTATTATATAGTTGGCATGTGCAGCCCGGATATATAAATAAATGTTTTTGCGACAAGAAACGTTTTAAACATATTGATTTCATGAATGTTTAGATTTGTGTAAAATACGGTGATATTATAATATTTGGTATATACACTATATTATTATACTGTTTACTGGCTTGTTCTACTAAAAGTGCAAAATATTTACTAGGGGTGTGCCGACTGCGTCTCTTATATGTTTTATTTTAAAAGCGTCATTATTATTTTGTGGGTGTGCGGTGAACATTGTTATGCTTCAAAGAGCCGCAAAAAACATTCGCCGAGCATGAAAGTGTATAAGTAGTGATTTTTCACAGCTTACGGCCAACAAATGACTGTACGGGTATGGTGTATGCATAAAACGAATATTATATGTACACGATCTAAAAAAAATCAAAAAATTCAAAATATCTTCACAAGCAAAAAAGCAAAAAATACTAAATAAATTATTCTGGATCAAAATACCCGTCATGAATTAAATATCTAAAATAAAGACTTAACAATATCTTCTTTTTTAAATTGTTGACAAACTAAGTTTCTGAACTTTTCTATATGTATATCAATTGACACAAATGATACAAACATCTGTTAATGTGTATGAGTTCTGAAAAAAATGTTATGCAAAACTTATGATTCCTATGCAATTATTGCAGAATGCAATAAACTGATGTGAAAATATAGAATTTATTTGTACACAAATGACATAATATGAAAAATTCAGGGGCGAGAATAAAATTTCCATCGATAAATCATTCATCAGGGATTTGGCCAATAACGACAAATAATTATCAGTGGCTAACATTAAAACTCTTTCATCAGCATTCGGATCATTTTCATACAGCAAACATTTTTTAAAATGATATAAAATTATGGTAAATAAAAGATATATAAATATGTACAAGCATTTTATGCATTACCCACTAAAATTAAAAAATATAACTGTAAAACTGTATAAGAATAAGTATTTGGTAAATTTTTTTCTGGGATTTTTTTTCATTGAGACTTTTTTTTCCCGATTATCGCTTAAATGCATCATAAGAAATACGCTCAAATACATAACATTTACTATGTGGGTAAACAGGTAATTCGCACAAATGCATGACGCTCGTAAAATCGTTAAAGGAAAAAAATATTTTGGTTTAGATATTTTGACCGAATACCAGAATAAATGACAACAAAAAGTATAATAGACCATATTACACGCTACGGTCATTTCACCAAATACACGTATTAATAAAATATAAATCAGCAATAAGCATTCTTACATGGGTTAAATTTATTCGATCACGCGAACCGCCAAATCCTTTTTTTATGTTCTTTGTGTCACCTACAGGTAGGCTACTTAAAACCAGATACCTATAGACGACTGCAAGTGCAAACAATGATATTATTATGAGACGCATATAATATATTATATACAATTCGTTGTGTATGGGTATACTCGTACTTACCCGGATCACAAAATTGAGGGATTAAGCGGTACAAACAACGGTGGTTTATATTATATTTTCCTCGTTGTTTATTCCGCGGAGGATGCGTACCCGTGGTTATAACGCGTCTCTGCTGTATATAATTTCCATATTGTATTGTAAAGTAAAACATTTTCGTTCTCTCAAGTCACGTAATATCATTGTATAGTACTTTTTATTCATTTACAAAAATGCACGAATGGGATTCAAGTACAGTATATAATATACGTATACTACAATATACGATCATATAAAAATGAGTACATACAGGCATACTTATGAGTATCTAATACAATATAAAAAATATAATTTAAATAACCTTAATTAAATGTTACGACCTGAGAATAAGAAAAGAACTTTTAAAAGTACATTATAGGTATCAACAGAGTAAAATGTAAACATAACCACAGATAAACAAACATATTGTTTATAGAATTATTATATAAAGTTAAGAAAATACGACCTATGTGGTTATTATAACCATAAATTAAGTACGGTGGGTTTTTATCGAGAATATAGGACAAGAATAAAACAAATATTGAGAGCTGTGAAAATGTATTTAGTTAAAGTACCTATAATTAAGGATAAGATGATATTATTATTCCATCAAAAAGTTTGGATATTATGAAATTTATTTCTATCAGTCTGCGCCTAGAAACAAGATAATTATAGGTATTTTACGTATTTAATTACAAGAGCCCGACAAATTTAATTAGAAAAAAAACGTACGGCGTATTTATTGTACAGAAATTAGAAACTTACGATCCATCGTGTCGGACAAGTCTTGTTTATGCGTATGGGATCACACAAAAAAATTACGTACGTCTTAACAATACAAATTATATTAATTCGACAGATAGCATTTTGCATGTCGTATAATAAATGAATTGAATAGAAAACATTAATTCGATGAAGTCAAAAGGTGTATTATAAACATAACGTTATAACTGTTATGTCCGTACGATATATTTAATATTATTATATTATATTGTACACGCAAAGCGGTGTGGTAACATGAATATAATAAGTGCGTTAAATTAAATAAACAATGCCCCCCTATGCGCGTAAATAGTGGTAGTGGGGCCATATTATTACCTATCCTATTATTGTATACATACACGAGACAATCTCGCGTGTACAATATAATATAATAATAATCGTATATAATAGAATAAAAACGCCACCGCCGATTAAATTTCTAGTCGACTTCAATAATATGTATAAAGAGAGATATGATTTATACGTTGCAGTACTTAAACGATGAGACCTTGTCTGTTCAACTCCTGTGTTCAACGACCATTCTAACTGTTATTATAATCGTCGTCGTCGTCGTTGTCATTGTTACCAGCTAAAAGTCCACATCAAGTGGTTCAATTAATAGTCTATTTTCAGCATCTAGTTCGCACCCTTATTTTGCAGGTACCTATGTCATTTTTTTATATATCATTGTATAGATACTCAAATTTAAAAAAAAATGATTTGATAGTTGATTTTTTTGTAAACAAATTGAGTCAGATATCCAAATGTGACGCCATTACATCGTTTTATAATATTTTTCACATAACTACTCACTACATTAAGTAGGTACTTGTAATCGGGTAATAAATCTAAAATAATAACATTTTAAATTTTAGTTCCTATATAGTATATATTATATTTTTATTGTATAATAATGTAAAACTGTACTAGTAGTCTATGTATATTATAGTGGAAATACTTACTAGTGTGCATGGTATACGAATGTGTATAAATCATTTGGTTAAATAGTAAAATGTAAATAAATAATTAAATGATAAAAAGTAAAAATATTAACCAGTGATATTTTTATAACAAGATTAATATTTTATCTACTTGTACTCAATAGTATTTTTAAAGGATTTGGGACATTGCAACAAAATAAAAATAATTCTACAAATGGTGTACGTATATGTCTGTTAACTCCAATTACTCAAAACTACTATCGGTTCGGAGATTTTTCCAAACTCCACCAGCACAACAAATCTAAACATACATTTCTTATGTTTATGACAATAGGGTAAA